TCTTGAACAAAAGCTCATCTTTCAAACCGGCAGTCTAAATCCCACAGGGATCAACGAACGCTTTTCATTCCACTAATTTATTCTTGTTTTTCTCGTTGCCATGTTCCCACCAATAACGTAGCTCCATTCTCTGCCTTTAAAAGCACACACAACCCACAATTCCTCTATTCGCTCCGACAAAGGGCTAACGCTCGAAACGTCAGCTTTTGTAATCGTTACGGTGGCCAATTTACCACTTCAATGATATTACCCTTGAAGCCGTAAGCTTTGAGTTTGCTCAGTAGCAGCGGTGGATGTAAGGAGTCAAAAGCTTTTGACATATCAGTCGACATTACGCTTACGAAAAGATGTTTATCTCTGGCCTCTCTCCACCCCTCCACCAAGTTGATCAGCGCCGTTGGTTTCGCAGGCTGTATTTTTTCCGATAGGCTGATGAGTTTACACAAATGTGTTTGTCGAAGTCAGTCATAATTTGCTTGCCAATGAGCTGCTCAAAGACCTTACCAACACACGGTAAGACTGTGATAGGTCTGCAGTTTTCCTTACAGGATCTGTCGCTCTTTTGAGATATAGGTGTCCATTCCCCACACTTCCATTGGCTTGGCCAAGCCTTATTTTTTATACAAGCGTTGGAAAGGGTCTGAAGCGGCCTCGCGAGTTCCTTTGCTCTAATCTTAAGTACTTTTCTCGGAATACCATCACAGCCGGTGGCTTTGTTGATATTAAGTGACTCAAGAGAATCTTTAACTTGCATTTGTGTGATAGGTTTTACTTCACTGATGCCTTGCGTTTGGTTCATAGATTCCGCCACTATTTTCTGAACACATGGATGGTGTTCAAAGTCCTCCATCAATTGAAGTTCGGCGCTTTTACTCCCAATTCCTTCAGCAATTGTGGCAAAATAGTCAGCTAGTATTTCCGTCGACAACTTCGCACTGATTTCTGACGACTTACCCAATTTCATTTAGCTGGATTTCAGTATTGTGTGCATGGTCCTTTTTGTTCAAGAAAGGCCCAAAAGTGTTAAAAAACTCCTTGGGTCTCATTTGTAGATCTTCGGATTTCTTTCTCCAATAGTCCTTAATTGCGATTCTTCTCTGCCTTGTTGCTTCGTTTCTCGCTTTACATTTAAGTTCCCAATTCTCTTTTGTATTGTTTTTAAGGTATTTTATTGTTGCTTTCCGCTTGGCTCTGATGGCGCTTTTCCATTGTGACGTCATGTATAAAACAGAGGTGAGATTTTACTTGATACATAGTGTTCACTACGCTGCAGTACTACATGTGGTTAACACGGTTAAGTACAGATCATGTTACAAAGCTGAACATAGTCAGGTTCAAATTCAAGATTGTTCAAGACTTGGTAATGAAATATCGGTACATGTAGCTGCTGTATGGTAACTATGGACTGCTTCAGTTTATGCCTACATATCTTTTTCTGAGCATTGCTCGTAGTTATCATAACTGTGGCAAATTCAATAATAGGAAAGTTATTTGAGACCTGGAATGAAGTTTATTTTTAATTAAGCTTACGTAATATTAAGGGCTTACCTATGTTTTTCGTCTCAGTAAAATGGCGGTTACCTGTAGTTGCTACTTGAAATGAACCATTTAGGACAAATTTATCTTCAGTTTCTTTCTTTCTTTTTTTTTTGTCTTGTTTTGCTCCGTTTTTTTCTTGATTTACCCTTCAATAAATCAATTAATCAATCTTCATTCCTCCTAAGATAAAAGACGTATCTTAAGTTAAATCAGAAGTTAGGAGTCTAAAAGTAAATGACATACTGTACACAAATAACAGGAAGATAACAATACATGTATAAGATATACTCTATACAAATAATAGAAAGATCAAAGATTATATTAACTTAACACGTTAACTGTAGTTAACTTAACACGGTTCAAAACAGCTCTTAAATTAAATATGCGTATATCTTAGGTTTTTATTTCTTTGGAAGTTTATTTACATAGGGTTAACCTCTTAAACATGCTTTTTAGGGTATCATTTGTGTTGTTTATTCTTTGATACCTTAAATAAAGTATATATGTATGCATGTATGTATGTGTATAGTTAAAAATAAGGCTATTTACAAAAACATTCTTAAATCTGTCAGTCTTTATATCTGGGCAATAAGCACTTTTCTTCATTCAGTATAATGCAACCTATGATTAGTTAATTAAGTGTAGAATGGATTCTTTGTTTCACTACTGAGAAAAAAAGGTTTAGTGAAAGTCAGGTTTCTCTGTGATGACAGCTCATCAAATGATCACAGTATGATAAAGGTGTGATAAAAGTGCCACCAAAGATCACCTGCATGTCAGCTGTTAAAGCACTATGGTGGTGTGATCTCTGGGAATATTTGTTTGCTGCTGCTCTGTTGGATTACAGTGAGTAAGCTACTGTTCAATAAATGTCTACTGCTTCTTTCAAATTATTAAGCAAAGGGTGTAATTTTGCCCCAAAAGTGATTTACTTAAAAGA